GAAACCATAAAAAGTAAGCAAATGACTTCTCTTTTATTGTTGATATTCTCTTTTTCACTAATTTGCTTCCATGGAAAGTCTCAATCTGTCAAGGTAGGTCAGGATTTCATAAGTAGTTTGATACAAAAAAGTTATATGATACAATTAAAAACAAAGTTTTTAAATTCTTACATTTGCAGTACCAAGAACCTGAATTTGAATGTGTTGATATCTACAATCAACCTTCGCTACATCACCCTCGGTTACAAAATCATCAAATCCAAGTATATGCCTCTATATATATACATCATTATGTCGATTTTAGGATATCATATTTTTTTCATGAACATTTTAATTGTCACTATGTCTTGTTTGTTGCATGTGATCACATAGAAGACACCGAGTGACGAAGTCTTAGCCATGTTATCAAGAGAAACGACATCACAAAACTTATTGAACGATGAAGCGATTGCAGAATTCGATATACCGGAAAAAGGTTGTCCTAAAGGACAAGTACCAATCCATAAACCTAGAAACTTTAACTACACGGCAAAACCTTTCCATTCTATTTCTAATGGCAACAGAACTATTGGTCAGCATGTAAAGTAACTTAAACTATTGGTTAACATGTAAAGTAATTTAAATTTTATACATTTACTATTTTATCCAAATCATGTATATGTATCGTATGTATAGGTTGCGGGAATTCGGAAAATAGAGGCCATCCCATGGCGTGGAGCATCAGCATGGATCAGTGTTTATCAGCCTAAAGTGCATAAGGGACAATTTAGCATGGCTTTGATTGGACTCAAAACCGAGAATAATTGCAAACTCAACACCATCCAATTTGGTTGGGCCGTAAGATTTTTTTTCGAACTCGTGTTAAATTATATCAATAGAAGTCTTTCGTATATGGAGTAAACTCATTATCATGGTAGATTAAGTTGAATTTTTGGTATTATATAATTTGATAATTTCGTCTTATAGGTGGATCCTGGATTATATGGAGACAATCTTCCAAGACTTACTACATATTGGAGTGTGAGTAACAATGTCATGATTTCTCTTATTATGTGTGTGTTTTTCTTTTTCCTAAGCGAACATATTTTTTGCAGCCGAATAAGCTTCACGACGGATGCTTCAATGTATTATGCAAAGGTTTTGTTCAAGTCGATAAAAGATTATTTCTTGGTGCTCCCTTTAGTAATATATCAGTGTTGGGAGGCGCACAATTTCACACCTTCCTTGCTATCAATCAGGTTTAACAACATACATATTTTGAGTAAACTAAATAATATAGTTTTAATTTGGATGTTATCATCATTTCTAAGGGGACAATCCTAGACAAAAATTCGGATTTAATACTCCTAAATAAAACTAGCACTATCTCCTCTTAGCGTCGTAGTCTAATTTGACCAACAAAGTTACTTACATCTTCATGTTTTTTTTTGGGACCGACACAAATGATAGGATCCAATAACACAAAACTGGCTGCTGACCAACGGAGAGTTTTACATAGGTTATTGGCCGAGGGAACTTCTACCGTATTTCATTCATGGAGCGAAGATAGTTCGATATGGTGGATTTACGAATGCACCAACCAAAAACTTGCAACCATACGATATAATTAGCCCGCCAATGGGGAACGGGAACAAACCGATAGAGAAGGAAGAATGGAATTTAACACATACTTGTTATATGCATCATGACAGTATGTGACAACAGATTATAAGAATGTTGACATTGATTCCAACAAGGTCGGAGAGGATATTGATATCCGTAAATGTTACAATGTGAACTATCTTGACAATTTTGGAACTAACCAGCAGACTTTCACCTTCGGTGGACCAGGTGGTCTGTGTGACGTGTGATCCCTTTTTAATGGTGACATTTTGTCTTGTTTCGTTATATATTTATATCATTCAATACAAAGTATTTTGAATTCCTAATTTTCGAGTTGATGTCTAAAGCTATATTTTCTTCTAAACAATTGTTGGTATCTCCAACACATTATTTGAAAAGTGATTTTTTTTTTAAATTTTAGTATGATGTATCACCTTAATCAATCCGGTCATAAAATATAAATTTTCATCACTACAAAAATTATGGCAATTAACGACGGTTAAGACTCAAATGTATATGGGTCAGTTTGAGAACCTACGTAACATCCTCTGACGCTAATTATTTTAACGTCACTTAAATGACGTGTAATTTTACGTCAAAAATCTTGCAACGGTTTGAATCTCGTTTTGAGTCATTTCAACAACTGACGCAAGTCCATTTTTTCTGTAAAAATATATTTTTCCAGATTATTTATTAAATAGTAATTAAAATTAATCTAAGAATATAAAATAAACCCATATATAAATATCAATTAAATTAATCAAATATAATCTGTTTACACAAAAGATATAAATTGTAACATCATAGACACAAATTTGGCGGATCAATCTAATACTATTCTTCTATATTTTAAATCACAACTTTTGGAATTTTGATTGTCTACTTTTCTGAAACACAAATAAATTCCAAGATTTTACAATTTGTATATATAATAATAATATAATGCCAAAGATGTAAATAACATTTTTACCTTGTCACAACTCAACAGATTTATTATATGCGATTTGGTGAAAAATGTGATTGAGCTAAATATTTCCACTGTTTTCTTTCACCTGAAAACATTGATAGCACCCCGGTATTGTAATCTCAATCTAGAAAGTACCCCGATAACACATTAATCTCCTAGAGTGAAACTGATGCACATCATAAGCACTATTCAAGGTTTAAGTGCCAACACTGTTTTAGCACTACTAGTACTCCTACCAAAACCTAGTACAGTTTACCTATGATAACCTGAATACTCTTAGTTAAAAGTGAAACATCATGACTTACTCTGAATCTTTTATAATTCTTAGTGCTAAATTAGGATCCACAACTCCTGAAGCATTGCCTTTACCCGTTAAAAGTTGTCCATGTCCTGAGAGAGAGAGATAAAGCTATAGTTTTAAGTTCATCCACATGTGTGTGAATGAGAAAAGCTTAGTAGTCCACATAACTCCATTCCCCATTTGATGTAATCTGGAGACATACATGCCTTAGTAAGTCTGCCAAAAAAATGTTTCAAAATTAAAACTCTATTGAAAACAAATTGCATGAAAAAATTACTAGTGAAAGGTGCATAAACTCGTTCAAAGGTGTCCAATCCTCCATATCATATAAAACGTGGTTAACTATAACATATATTAAGATCACTTAACATAGCTAAATTTGTTCAAAATTCACGAAGATAGATATTGAAACAGACTTAAATCCAATCAGAGATTACCTTAAACATAAATTGAGATTCAGGCTGTAAGCTCTCCGCAAAATTCGTAAGGAATCTGTCAAATACTCAAGTTTAAAATCCTTGTCATAATCATCATATAATCCATCTAAAACACAGCAAAATTCTCAAACAATTCAATTGTCGATCTCTCAACCTGTGTGGAGAATCGACCTCATACATCAGAAAAAAATAAAGCAGTGGATCAAATTGAGATACGATTACGTCTCTGAATCAAAATCCAAGTTCGATCGGAATAGAGATGGAATCAATCGACTTCGAAAGAATTGGCTACCAGAATTTGAATCTCACCGGAGTAATTGTGATTCCGTTAGATCTCATCAGAGTATATGCGAAAGATGTTTGATCTCAACGGCGTTAGGTTTTTATAACCGGTGGAGTCGCACTCTCGCACTGTTTATAAAGAATCATTTATTGAATTCCTTAGAGCACTTGCATCGGTGATACAAGGTGTGTATCAGTTGAATAAACAAATAAGAAATAATGAGTATTTGCATTTATAATTATTTTTTTATTCTGAAACATTTCAATAGAGTGAGACAATTGAAACGTCTCACTTGTACACGTGGCGGCTATCTACTGAACCGCCTTATTTTTTTTTGGCCAAAAAAAAGTCATTCACACGTTCTTTCTCTCTCACATTCTCTCTGGCGAAGAGAGAAGAAGGCGATTTTCCGATCAAAACCGAGAAGAAGGCGATTCCGACGGTGACTAAGAGGCGGATTCCACGGCGATTGAGTTGTAATCGCCGGTGTGATGTTGCCGTCGTGGTCATGCGTGTCGATCGAACTTCTCCACCTCTCTGTGATGATTGAGAGGCCAAATCCGAGAAGAAGAAGAAGGCGATTCCGACGGCGATTGAGAAGCGGATTCCACGGCGATTGAGTTGTAATCGCCCGTTGTGGTCGTGCATGTTGATCGCACTTCTCCAC